GTTTTTGGATAATCTTCAATAGAATCTTACTTGCATGTGAAATCAATGATATTGTTCTGTAGTTTCCGCACTCAGTTGGGTCACCCTTCTTTGGAATGGGAACAAATATAGATCTCTTCCAGTCAGTTGGCCAAGTGGTTGTTCTCCAGCTTTCTTGGTACAACTTGGTGAGCACATCCAGGGCAGCATCTGTTACTTGAAATACTTCAATTGGTATACCATCTATTCCTGGGGCCTTATTCTTTGCTATTTCCTTCAAAGCATCTTGAACTTCTTCCTTCATCACCATAGGCTCTTGCTCAGAATGAATTTTTTTTTAAGCCAAAATGTGTATGGATAGAAAAACCAACAGTATGACTTGTAAACTTTCACTCCTATAAAAAAATTTAAAATATTAGTTATTAATTATTTCATTCAACAAAAGTTACATTGAGCACCTACTGTAAGCCAATTGCACCACACTGCATAGTTTAAAATTAAGGGAGTGTGACAGGTTTATATTCTTTTTCCATATCTATTCAATCTGTATGTTGAGAGAAGCATTCAAAAAGCTGGACTCTATGAAGGGGAATATGACATCAGGATAAGAGGGAACCTCATCAATAACCTGTGTTAGGCTGATGACACAACCTTGCTTGCTGAGAGTGAGGAGGACTTGAAGCACTTGTTGCAGAAGATTAAGGAATGTAGCCTTCAATATGAATTGTATCTCAGTGTCAAGAAAACAAAGATTCTTACGACTGGACTGATAGGCAACATCATGATGGATGGAGAAGAGATTGAAACTGTCAACAAATTTATCTTTCTTCTATCCACAATTAACATCCTTGGTACCAGCACTCAGCAAATAAGGAGACACATTGCGCTGTGAAAGTCTGCAGTTAGGGATCTCTCTAAATTATTGAGCAGTAGTGATGTCAGTTTGAAGACTTAGGTGAGTCGGATTCAGGCCACGATCTTTTCAATCACTTGCTATGCATCTGAGAGCTGGCTAATGAATAGGGATGACAGAAGAAGAATTGATGCCTTTGAGCTGTGGTGTTGGAGAAGAGGATTGAACATCCCATAGACTGCTAAAAGAACACACAAATATGTCTTGGAGAGGGTGTAGCAGAAGTGCTTTTTGGAGGCAAAGATGATGAGGCTTCACATCATATACTTTGGGCATGTTGCTAGGAGGGGCTATTCCTTGGAGAGGGACATGATGCTGGGAAGGGTGGAGGGCCAGCCAAGGAGAGGAAGACCCTCGACTAGGTGGATTGACATGGTGACTGCAATGGGGTCTAGTGTGTCAGGAAGTGTGAGGATGGCACAGGAGAAGACAGGGTTCAGAGCCACTGTTATAGGGTCACTATGAGTCATACTCAGCAGCACTAACAACAACAGCGTAAGAGAAGTATTAATAGGACACTTGGGATATAGTAATCAGTCAAAAAAGATCTATGTTCTCCTAGAGCCTCCTAATGAGACAAGACACCATGAAGAAGAGTTCTCTTTAAAGTGGTGGGAAGTTCCATTGTAAACAGTGAAGCAGAGTACAGGTATGAATGAAGAATGATCCTTTTTTCCCCCCAATATTTTTTTATTATTAATTTTAATAGATACTTTTCTCCCTGCCCACCCCTCCCCACCAGCTTGCTCCCTCCTCCAAAGAGAAAAAGAAAAAAAAATTCCTTCATTAGTATACAATTCCCACATCCCTTCTCCCCCACCCTCCACCCCGAGTAAACTTCTCTATGCAACCTTAATTCTGGATTCCTGTGCTAACCATAATACTCAATCATATATCACTTCTAATCTGTTCTTTCCCTCATCTGTTACAGTACAATATACATAATTTATCCAGTTTTTTCTGTCATACCCCAACCCTGATGTCAGACCCATTCTACAACAGTGGCACCAGGCAGTATTTGTCCCTTTGTGACTGAGATATTGCACTCAGCATAATGTCCTCCAGGGTCACCCACTTTGAATAATATTGCACAAGTTCCTTGTTTTTCAATGCTGTGTAGTATTCCATTGTGTGGATATACCACAGCTTCTCTATCCATTCGTTTGTTGATGGGCCCTTAGGTTGCTTCCAACTCTTTGCTATTGTAAACAAAGCTGCGATAAACATGGGTGTGCATATATCTGCTTGGATGGCAGACATGGTCTCTCTGGGGTATATTCCCAGTAATGGGATTGCTGGGTCTAATGGTATCAATATATTTGCAATTTTTTAAGAAAGTGCCACACCGCCTTCCACAATAGTTGCACCATCTTACATTCCCACCAACAGTGAATAAGAGTTCCGGTTTCTCCACATCCTCGCCAGCATTTGTTGCTTGCTGTTCTGTTATATTTTGCTATTCTGACTGGGGTGAGATGATATCTCATAGTTGTTTTGATCTGCATCTCCTTTAAAGCTAGGGACTTTGAACATTTCTTCATGTGCTTGCTGGCCATCTGAATATATTCTTTGGTGAAGTGTCTGTTCATATTCTGTGCCCATTTTTCAATTGGATTATTTACCTTTATCTTATTGTGGTGTTCAAGTATTTTATAAATTCCAGATGTAAGTCCCTTATAAGAATGATCCTTTTATAAATATCCTGTGAAATAAGAAAGACTGATGAAGTGACATGTGAACACAGGTGTGGAGGCAGTGTCAGTGGAGAGCTATTTAGACACTCAGGAAACATCATTCTAGAGTTAAAGAATAGCAAAGGCAAAGCCCTGAGGTGGGAATATTCCTGGTGGCTACAAGGAAGATCAACTTGCTCAGTATAGTTGGAACAGCATATACTGGGAAGTAAGTGATGTTATTGTATACCATCAAGGCAGAACCAACTGAGAGCTGATGAGAGCTGACAGCACCCTCTACAGGGTTTTCAGAGGCAGTAAACCGTGTGGAAGAGAATGCCCATCTGTCCCCTGCAGAGCAGCTGGTGGATTCAAACCACAAACATTTGGTTTAGTAGCACAACTCCTTACCACTAAACCACTAGAGCTTCCTGGTGGTAAGTGGTATAAGTTGGAAATCAGAAGATACATTGGTGCCATAAAAGCCAGTTGAAGGTCATGGTTAAGATGCTGCCTTTTCTTGTGATGAAATTGAATGGTCAGCAAAGAATTCCCAGCAGAAGGACAACTTGATCTGACTTACTGTTTAGAAGGATTCTTTTGACTTCTAGTGTCAACTATGGAAACAGGGAGACTAGTTAGAAGGCTACTACAGTAACCCAAGGATGGCTTAGACTAGTCTGTGGACAGCAGTGGGAGAGAGAGAGATAGTTGACTAAAACATGTTAAAGAGTTTTCTGTGGGGGATGCCAGGTTGGGAAGATGGTGGCCTTTCACCGTTGTGACCTGTTCTGGTCCACTGAAGTTGTGCACAACAAAAAAAGGAGAATTATCCAGCAGAAATGTTACTTTTTCTGCTGTGTTCAAAGCTCCTATTCAACCAGATATGATTAACTTTGTTCATACCAACTTCTTAAAAAAAAACCAACAAGCTGGGCTATGCTGAATTTTGGGGTATTGAAAGAGCTGTGGCGCTGACAGAGTTCAAGGTGGTGAAAGGTACTGTTGTGTTGTAAATATGTGTTGTGGAAGCCACACATTTGCATCAACCAATATCTCATGCCACCAGCACCACAGAGCGGATATAACTCAGAAGTGTTACGCCATCTCCTCTTCTCCAGATGTCTCGCTCTTCCCAGCACTGGTCATATCTACAGGTTGATATATTGAGTTTCATGCACTTCTTTGATGGTAAAAGATGAAATTGAAGATGACAAGACCAAGATGGCTGTTGTGAATCTCAAGAAATATGAGATCTGGAGTGATATAAAAAAGTCCTAGGCTGCTCAATGAATGAGAACTGACAAGAGCAAAGTGAGAGACAGCTGACATAGGCAGCACAAGGGACCATGTATTTTCTGTCAAGGAGGACTGCAGTGTCGTTGAGAAACATCCCTGCAATGACTCTGCTTAATGTATGCAAAGCGAACATTTTAAAAACTTGCTCCTGATGAGGCATGTGGGAGGTTTCTGCATTCAGACTGGTAGTACTTTTAACAAGTTAGATGAGCTTGTATGACAACTGGCATAAAACTGCCCCCTTCAAGAGTAACTACAACCTTCCCCTACATCAAAATAGACATGAGCAGAATATTGCAAAGCCCCGAGGTTCAAAGAGCCCTCCATGGGCTCATTGTTGCACCATGCACGAAGATTCCCTGCAGAGTCCTGGAGAAGAACTCCCTGGAAAACCTGAGAGTCATGGAAGGTAATTCCATTCTTCTCTAGGCCAGGAATCATGGACTTGAACTGGTAAAGCCACTGCTTTAGAGACCAAGTCAGAGAGAAGGGGGCTCCAGCGAGAAGTCTGTGGCAGAGGAAAACAGAAGATTGAAAACTGTTGATGTGAAGGAACTTGTGCTGGGAAAGAAGGAAGTGGCTACCAAGAAATCAGCAGCTGAGAGGCAGCCAAAAAACCCTTCCCCGTGGGAAAAGAAGCCAGTTGAATAAAATTTTAAATGCATTTATGCTGTTCAAGTCAAATAATTTTGGACAAGTTTATTTTGGATAAAGACCTGATCAAAGAGGTAGTGCAGGGATGTGGGGCAAATGTCCAGGAAGCTAAGCTGTCAGGATTTACTGGTGGGTTAAATATATACATCAGAGGAATCACAGAAAAAAAAAAAGGAATCACACAATGCTTAATGAATTAAACATTATGAATGTTAAATGAAGTTGTTATTAACGGAAATGAAAAAAGTACAGAGTGGTGCTGGAGATAAAAACTGCATCAGCTGATAGGATCATGTGGTTCTTGTTCTTGTTTTCTTAATGTGATGAATTATATTGTTTTTCTTACACTGAACCATTCTTACATAACTGTTATGAATCTTGCTTGGTCATGATGAATTCTATTTTTGATATATTGTTGGATTCTATTGGCCAGGATTTTGTCGAGGATTTTTGCGTCTACGTTCATGATTGGACTATAGTTTTCTAGTTTGGTAATGTCTTCGTCCAGTTTTGGAATTAGAGTAGTGCTTGTTTCATAGAATGATTTTAGGAGTGTTCTTTCTTTTTTCTGTCTTTTTAAATAACTTAAGTAGACTTGGTGCTAAAAAGTTACAATCACTCCAGAAGGCAGTTTGGCATTTCCTCAAAAAGTTAAACATAAAAATCACATAAGTTCCAGTTATTCAACTGCTAGGAATATACCCCAAGTAAATCAGAACTGAGATACAAACAGAGTTATGTACACCTATGTTCATAGCTGCATTATTCACAGTAGCAAGAAAATGGAAACAGCCCAAATGGCCACGACAAGTGAATGGATTGAGAAATTGCAGTGGATTCAAACAATGGAATACTATGTGGCTCTAAGGAACAATGGTTTTGTAAAATACTATAAAATATGGGAGAGTCTAGAGAGCACTTTGCTGGGTGAAATTACTCAATCTCATCAGGGCAAATACTGCACGAGACCATTATTGTAAAAATAGAAGGATATCTGAGCAAGATCTGTATAAAAGTTCAAAAGGGGAAGAGAAAGGGACCAACCTCAGCCCACAGGCCCCCTCCCGGGCCTGACTGTGGTGGGGCTGCCTCTGTAGATGCCCGCGAATATAAGCACAGCATTTTGCTATTGGCAGGTGCCATCAAATTGAGTACAACTCACAGTGCCCCTATGAATAACCAACTTGAACTCTGCCCTATCCTATGCCATCCTCATCATTTCTGACACACTAGCGACCATTGCCAAAGTCACCATTTCAACCCATCTCATTGAGGGTCTTCCTCTCCTTCACTGACCCTCCATCTTTCCAAGCAAGATATTCTTCTCCAATGATACCCTCTCCCAGCTTCATGTCTGAAGTAAGAAAGATGAAGTTTCACCATCTTTGCCATCAAAGAACACTCTGCCTGCACTTTTTCCAAGACATATCTATTTGTTCTTTTGAGAGTATGTGTGATATTCGGTCATTTTCTCCAGCACCACAACTCAAAGGCATCAATTCTTCTGTCATCCTTATTAATTGTCTAGTTCTTTGATACATAGCAGGTGATTGAGAAGACCATGGCCTATGCACCTTAGTCTTCAAACTGACATCATTGCTCTTGAGCATTTTGGAAAGGGCCTTGGCAGCAGATTTACCAATGCAATCTGTCTCCTGATTTCCTGACTGCTGGTATCAAGGGTGTTGATTGTTGATCTAAGGAAGATGAAATCATTGGCAGCTTCAATCCTTTCTCATCTGTGAAGTTGACTGTTGGTCCTGTGGTCAGGCTGTTTTGTTTTCTTGATGTTGAGATGTAATCGATACAGAAGGCTGCAGTCCCATAATCTGAAGCAAGTGTTTATCATAGCCTCTTCATTCTCAGCAACAAAAGTTGTAGCATCTGCATAATGCAAGTTGTTAATGAATCTTCCTTCAATCCTGATGCCACATTCTTCCTCATAGAGTCCAGCTTCTTGAATTATTCACTCAGCATACAGAGTGAATAGGTCTGGAGAAAGGATATAACCCTGATGTATGCCATTCCTGATTTTAAACCATGCAGTGTTCCCTTGTTCCTTTAGGACAACAATATCTTCTTGGTCTAGGTATAGATACCTTATGAGCACAATTAAGTGTTCTGAGATTCTCCTTTTTCTCTGCATTAGCCATATTTATTATAATCCACATTGTCAAATGCCTTTGCATAGTCAATAAAACACAAATAGACATTTTTCTGGTATCATTGGCTGTCAGCCAGGATCCATCTGACCTCAGCAATGATATCTCTGGTGCGGCAACCTCTTCTACAGCCAGCTTGAACTTCTGGCAGTTCCCTATCAATGTACTGCTCTATCTATTTTTGAATGCTCTTCAACAATATTTTGCTTGCATGAGATATTAATGACACTGTTAAATAATTTCTGTACTTTGTAGGATGACTTTTCTTGGGAATGGGAATATACGGATCTCTTCCAGCCAATTGACCAAATTTCCTGAATAGTATAATTACTCCTGTGTTTGGATCACATCAGTAACCAAGAGAGAGGGGTCAGTACAAGTCCTTCCCGTCCTAGTCCTTGGCATCCTGGTGTTTCTGCCAGGATTCTGCCACCTGCTTATCTCTTACTATTCAATCAAAGTCTACCAGTACTCCCACAGTGACATGACATACTTTGATGACTAGCACCCACCTCATGTCAAAGAAGAAGAGTCATAGATGGGACTGAGTCCAATTTAAGCCACTTGGCAGAAAGCATAAATAAGGGGTAAGGAATTCTGTTGTTTGCAGAGGTGTGGCAAAACTATGACCAGATTGTATGGGTCTATATGAAACTAATCTTACAAGTAACTAATTAGGATATTCTTTATTTTCCCATCTCCTGGTACTGGCAAAAACTCTTGACAAGCTTTTCTTCATATATCTGTATCATGGAAAGTAACTGCTAATTAATTGCTGTCGAGTGAAGATTGACTTGGTATTGACCTTGTACTGGGTTTTTTTAGGCTGTAAATTGCATGGGAGGAGACTGTCCATCATTTTCCTATGGAGGTCCTGCTGGATTTGAACCATCAGAGAGGCATAGCCTTTTGGATTGGCAGCGCAAGTCCTTACAGACTAGGGCACCAGAGCTCCCTTCTTAGATGAGTAATGTATGTAGCAATAGGAGGTTGTATGTAGCAATAGGAGGTTATTCTGTAATTACAAAGTTTACCACCACCTTCCTTTCTAAAGAAGGTAACTTCTTTAAAATAATCTTTATTTTTATTTATTCAGTGACTGTAACAATGAGCTTGAGTGTGGCAGAAATTGTGAGGGTAAAGTTCAGATCTGTTCATAGAGTCACTTTGAATCTTAGTGGATTTGATAGTACCAAGCAACACCATGTACATGTGAAAACTGGACACTGAACACTGAAGATCCATTTACCCCTTTGAATTGTGATATTAGATAAGAGTACTGAATGTCCGTGCTTTGCCAAAAATCCCAAACAACTTTGATTAAAAAACGCCCCCAACTTTGTCTTGGAAGAAAGGTACACAGAAGGCTTCTTCAAGTGAAAATGACAGGACTTTATCTAACACGATTTGGGCATGTTATGGGGGGGCTACTCCCTGGAAAAAGGCATCATGCTCAGTCAGCAAAAAACAGGAAGACCCTCAGTGAGACAGATTGTTACAGTAGTTACAGTGGCCCCATGCACAGTGGTGACTGAGAAGAGCATAAGATTGGGTGGTGTTTTATTCTGTTAAACCTATAGCTGCTATGGGTTGAAACTAACTGCATGGTACCTAACAACAATAACAACTAAGTTGTTCAGCACCAACTCATGGTGATCTGATGGAAATGCTGCCTGGTTGCAGTGCATCTTATGAACATGACTAACAGTGGATAGTGGTGCAGAAGATGTGAAGCCTGAAATCATGAAGATAGCACTCACACTCAGAGAAGTAGCCTGGTGCTTTTATCTACTTCCTAAGGATTGTATCCCACTGCTGTTCATGACTTTTTTTAAATTTTCTACTAGTTTATTTAGAAAATTTGAATAAAAATTTGAACAAATTCTTTCCATTTCCTCACCCTCCACCCGTCAAATTGTACAACCCCATGATTAATCCTTCCCTCCCCCTGCACATCCTCATCCCTCTGCTTACACCCTCACCCACCGCTCTTGGATCCTTATACTCATTCTACAATAATGGTTTTATGCAATAGTTTTCCTGTGGGACTGAGTTAGTTCACTCAGCATAATGCTCTCCAGTTACTTCCGAGTTAAATAATAATTTACAAAGTTATTGCTCCTGAGTGCTGCATAGTATTCCACTGTGTGAATGTACCATAATTTCTCAATCCAGTCGTTTCTGTTTGGACATTTGGGCTGTTTCCATGTTCTTGCAATGGCGAATAATGTTACTATGAACATTGGTGTACAAATTTCAGTTTGTGCCTCAGTTCTCATATTCTCAGGATATATTCCAAGTAGTGGAATATCTGGGTCATATGGAATTTCTATGTTCAAGATGGATCAGAGACCTGGGAGTAAAGCCCAAAACCATAACGTTCATAAGAGACAAATTGGGATCAAGCTTAGAAGAGCTAGCCTAAGGTATAAAAAGACTGCCAAATACAACCAGAAATGCACAACTAAAAAAGAGAATAAAATTGATGCATGGGACCTTCTAAAGATTAAATCTCTGTGCATATCAAAAAGTTTTTCCAACAGGGTGAAAAGAAAGCCTACAAACTGGGAACAAACATTTGGCAATACCATCT